AGAAACAGACACATATAATGACCAATTGTTAGGTACAAATAATTTATCCAAAATACGTATACAAACTGCATTTTTAGAAACTTTATTTATTCAATTACTGAATCCTATTGTTTTTCCAAATGCTGTTTTTTCTAGGCTAATGAGTGTTTTTCTATTTCGTTACAGCAATGTTATTACATTTGTTGGTGGAATATTATTAGGCATATTAGGAGGATACTCATTATTTTTATTTTCTACTTTGTATTTAGTTGAAAGATTAGAACAAGATACACCAACTATATATCGCCTAGTAAAACGTGTAATACACCAAGCTTTTTTCCCTATATTTTTTATTATTTGCTTAATTTATTTAGGACGATCCCCTATTCCATCAATTAAAAACTTTAGTTTTAATAAGGAATCATGGCAAGAAAAACCATGGCCAGATATTTTTTACAGTTATGATACATGGAAACGCCCATTGCGTTTTTTGAAAAATAATAAAACAAATTCAACTGAAGAAAATATTCGAGCATTTAATAAAATGTATTTCTCTCAATATTTTTTTGAAATTTATAAAAAAGATGGAAAACAAAAATTGTATCATAACGCTCCCCAAAGTATATCGATAGTTTCAAGAGATTTAAATAAATTATTGGAAATACCAAGTATCTCTGAAGAAGATCAAGAAAAAATTTTTGATGAATGGATTCAAGATAAAGAAACACGTAAAGTAGAAATACAAAAAAGTATACAAAATCGATTAATATCGTTAAAACAAGGAGGATTATTAGAGGATATAGTAGAAAAGAAATTTGGATCTATTAGTTACAATGGTAACATTTTAAGCAAAGAATATGATCCTCGTTTAGGTTTAGATACAAGAGAAAATAAATTCAATATTAATAATAAGTCTCCATTATTATTAACAGAAGCAAATTTAAAGGAAAGAAGTGCCTTTTTATCCTCAGATAAAACAAATCTATTAAATATATATACTAAAAATCGTTTAAAATTGTTTTTTACTACAAACTTAGTCAATTATGATAAATTACCAAAAATTGAATGGCAAAAAGAACAGAGTTTAATAGACAAAGAAATTCAAAACATTGAATTAGAAGATTTTACTAAAGAAAGTTGGTCAATTGACAAAATTGAATCATTAAAAAATGACAATATTCAATCATGGAATAATATTTTATATAAAATACAAAAATTAGTAAAATCCAATAAAGAAATAAGCAACGCAACTAGTTTTTTAGGAAGTCAGCAAGAATATGATAGTGTTGACAACAGTGCGCGTTTTATAAATATGTACAAATTGATGCCCTCATGGAACTCGAAAATAAGCAGAGCTGATTTACAAAAACCTGGATCTAAGAAATTTAGTTCTGTATTAGCAAATTTTGTTCGCCACTTATTACCAGGTTCTATGCGTGCACGACGTCGTAAAGCTTTATCATGGAATGCGTATCAAAATCAACCTCATGCTCCTATATTTTTACGTGCTATTACTTCTTTAAATTTAGATACTGTAGCAACTACTGAAGAAAATAATACATTACTATTTAAAAAGAAAAATGAAAATCAACAAAGTGTTCATATTTTAAAAACAAGATGGAATTTCCCTATTGCTCATTTTGTCAGAGGAATTGCATTATGTGGACAGGCGTATATCAGAAGATATATAAAATTACCAATACTAATTATTCTTAAGAATATTAGTCGACAAATTTTATTACAATCGACCGAATGGCAAAAAGATTGGACAAATTTAGCACAAGAAGTTTATGTTGATTGTGACTATGATGGTAACGACTTATATGTTGGTGTAAAATTGCCTAATATCTTGGAGTTGAAAGGCAAACAAGTTAAAATAATACGTCCTTTCCGCTTAAAATATTCTCAATCATCTATCTCTAAAGAGACTAATTCGAGAGAAAAAAATGTTAATCTTTCTAATATATCTAATAATGAAATAGATAATTATAGTTATTTAACTATATGGGGAGACGAAACTTCTGAACCATTTGGAAAAATAAAAACACAAAGTCCTTTTATACAACCTATTCTTCAAAGAATAAATTTAATTTTGCGTCATAAAATTTATAAAAAATATGATGCTTGTGTCCAACAATTTAAATGGATAAAAAAATACCAGGAACAATTAGTTGATGGAATAGCTAATTTAAACAGTAACTTATCCAGTTTCTTACAAACAAAACCGCAGAAAGAAGATAATGCATTATCTATTCTCACTACAGAAAACGTTTCTGATAAAGATATGTCACAGTATCTGAAAAACAAGAAAGATGTTAAATCTTCCAGTATTGATATCATTAAGAAAGAAAAAATTGTCAATAAAAAAGATCAAATTCACCATAAATCTTTTGATAAAAATATAAGTTTAGGTGACAATAATACGAATAACAAAGAAGAAAGCAAAGATATTAACAGAATAGATACTAAGAAAAACCTTGTAGTACAAGATAAGAGAGAAAGAAAATTCGAATCTAAATTGTACAAAATTGAAACTAAGAAAGAAAAAGTAAACCATCAAAGCAAAAAACTAAGAAAATATAATTTTAAGAATAGTATAATTTATTTGCAACAAAATTTATTCCATTTAAAAAGATCAATAATTCATATACAGAAAGATATTACGTATAATTTTCATCAAAAGAAAACATTACTATCTAGAGATATTATCAAAGCTGGCGACAAATTATTCGAATTACTACAAGAATTTATCTTAACTATCCGGAAATTTCTTATTTATATAAATACATTTTTTTCAGATTTATTTAATGGATCTTTAGTAGAGATAAGAAAATTTGGAAAAAAATCTTCTAATGAATCTAATAAATATGTGAATCAAATCATAAAAAATTCGAATGAAATAGATAACAAAACAAACTTGTCCCAAGCTTATGTATTACATAAGATATGGCAAGAAAATGCAATGAATAGACCTGTCTTAACAGATTTAATCAAAACATGGAATGAAAATGAATTATTAAATAAAAATGTTCACAGTTATTTAGATAAACAAGGTATTTTGGGAAATCAGATACCTGAAAATTTACAATATATAGAATGGCAAGCATGGTTACAAAAACTACCTGGCTATAGACCTTCTTTAAAAATTTGGCGATATATTATTCCACAATATTGGTCTGAATCTGTAAAGAAATATTGGAAAGATTCGAAAGATTTTACCTTATCTACACGAACAGACAAATATAATATTCTTGGAGAAAAACAAGAGCTATCTAATTATTTATCTTACCATACACCTTTATTGGAGAAAGCACAGAAATTTACAAAATTATCCAAATTTTATCGACTTGCTCATAATTATACAAATTATGCCAATGATGCTGATGTAGAGAATTTTTCTAGTTTAAGTACTAATGGATTGCTAGATAATTTTACAAAAGATATTCAAGAACTACGAATAGAAGATGATTTGTTAAAAGATTCACCTATTATTCAGAAGGAAATAGAACGTATTAATTCTAACATTGAACTTAGTAGTATTCCTGATAGGCTTAGTTATCCTGCATCTCGTCAAAACAAATGGAAATCGAAAGAACTTAAAAATAGATTTCGTAATTTAATGAAAGCTGCTAAACAACGAAATGTATTAAAAGAATCTATGATGGAGAAAAAACATATGATAGAGATACCAGATCAAATGAGAAAAGATTTGGAGATTTTTTATCAAAGTTTTCAACCTGAAGATATATTATTTATTAGTATATTAGAAAATTGGAGATATAAAGTTTTAGATGATGAACTTTTTATGTATAATATATTAAGTTCTTTCTTAAGATTTAATGAAAAAGAACAAAAGGATTCTTTAATAAAGTATGGATCATCTCATATTTTTTCACAAAGTATTGTTACTAATAGATATCCTTTCTTACCAGAAGAATTGCTTTTACCACAGAGTTTACGTGAATTAAGAATATTAGAAAGTTTAGATTTAGAAGAAAGTATAAACCAATATGAAAAAGGAAATCAATTCGTAAAAAAAGATTCCAAAAAAATAATAAATAAAACTAGAAAGATTAATAAATCAAAAGATCATAAAATAAGCAAAGAAATTATAACTAACAAAGATACTATTATGAGATTTTTATGGCCTAGTCATAGAATCGAAGATCTTGCTTGTATGAATAGATTTTGGTTAGGTACAGCCAATCAAAGTCGCTTCAGTTTATTAAGGATACGTAGCTTTTTGTAGTTTTGTTTATATTCCCAAAATAGTGAATACTATCCATTCGAAACATTGATTAAATAAGAGAAGGTTTTATGAGAAATGGGAATTCTTTGAAAGAATTCTATTAATTTTGCAGTCTAATAGTATGCAATTTTATTTTAATAGATTATTAAATTGTTCAAACTGTATGTTGTTAGACTGCAAAACAAGTTTATCCTCTTTCTTTTGAATGTTTTAATGGTATTTCTTAATAAGAAAATATCAAAAATATTCATCATGAAATTTTCTTTCGATTATCATCCCAAGAATTGCTACAAACAATGAAAATGTATAGCTTCACATAGCGTGTTATAATGTTATAATAAAGACTAAAATCATTAGATGATTAGGAGAATCTAATTTTATGATTACAAAAACACTATTAAACCAATCTTATATTGATAATCCAGGTTCGACTGAAGCACAAATATGTATCTTGACAGAAAAAGTAGCTCGCTTAAGTTCTCATTTGAAAATGCATAATAAAGATTTTTCTTCTCAAAGAGGATTAAGAAAAATCTTAGGCAAACGTAAACGTTTATTAACTTATTTGTATCGCCAAGATACTGTAAGATATCAAAATTTAATTAATGACTTAGGAATTCGAGGAACAAAAAGACAAACTGCCAGTTAATTACATAGTAAATTAACTAGTAATTATCTACTATGTTAACTATTCTAATAATGATCTTTTTAGTGTAGAAATTAAAGAAAAATATTCTTAAAAAACAAATATGATTTCAGGGTAGAGGCGAGGATTTTCAAATATTCGTAATTGGATATATATATTCAATATATTTATATCTCTGAAACATACTTATATTTGAATAAGCATAAAATATGTTTTCCAATATGATGAATTTATGGTTAGACGCTCGGAAAAACCAAGAGGAGAGATGGATTTATGACCATGCTTACGACTAAAACAGATCCCATGATAATAAGTATGGGGCCACACCATCCATCAATGCACGGAGTTTTGAGACTCATTGTGACTCTGGATGGTGAAAATGTAGTAGATTGTGAACCCATTTTAGGATATTTACATCGAGGAATGGAAAAAATTGCAGAAAATAGAACTACATTGCAATATCTTCCATATGTTACTCGATGGGATTATCTGGCTACTATGTTTACAGAAGCAGTAACGGTAAATGCACCAGAAAGATTAGCTAATATTCAAGTACCAAAAAGAGCTAGTTATATACGAGTTATAATGTTAGAATTAAGCAGAATAGCTTCGCATTTATTATGGCTAGGTCCTTTTATGGCTGATATTGGAGCACAAACTCCCTTTTTTTATATTTTCAGAGAAAGGGAAATGATTTATGATCTTTTTGAAGCAGCCACTGGTATGAGAATGATGCACAATTATTTTCGTATCGGTGGAGTCGCAGTCGATTTACCTTATGGATGGGTAGATAAATGTTTAGATTTCTGTGATTATTTCTTACCTAAGATCAATGAATATGAAAGATTAATTACTAGAAATCCTATTTTTCTTAAAAGAGTTCAAGGTGTAGGGATTATTGGTAGAGAAGAAGCTATTAATTGGGGACTGTCTGGTGCTATGTTACGTGCTTCAGGAGTTCAATGGGATCTTCGAAAAGTAGATCACTATGAGTGTTATGATGAATTTGATTGGCAGGTTGAATGGCAAACTGAAGGAGATTGCTTAGCACGCTATTTAGTACGTATTGGTGAAATGAGAGAATCCACTAAAATTATTCAACAAGCACTAAAAACTATTCCTGGAGGACCTTATGAAAATTTGGAAGCTCGTAGAATAGGTTTATTAAGTAAAGAAAGTTCTCCGTGGAATGATTTTGAATATCAATTTATTAGTAAAAAACCATCTCCAACTTTTAAATTACCTAAACAAGAGCATTATGTCAGAGTTGAAGCTCCTAAAGGTGAACTTGGTGTTTATTTAATTGGAGATGACAGCTTATTCCCATGGCGATGGAAAATTAGACCACCAGGATTTATTAATTTACAAATTCTTCCTCAATTAGTAAAAGGAATGAAACTTGCGGATATTATGACTATACTTGGTAGTATTGATATTATTATGGGGGAGGTTGATCGTTAAATGGCATCTACTAGAGCCCTGGATGAGAGAGTTATTGATCTATTGTGTCAAATTGGTATACCTAAAGAATTTTCTGAATTTCTATGGATTTGTATTCCTATCCTGTCGGTCATTATTGGTGCAACTTTAGGTGTATTGGTTATTGTATGGTTAGAAAGAAAAATATCTGCAGCTGCACAACAACGTATTGGTCCTGAATATGCAGGTCCACTGGGTGTAATACAAGCATTAGCTGATGGTTTAAAATTAGTATTTAAAGAAGATATTATTCCTGCTAAAGCTGATCCACTACTTTTTACACTTGGTCCTGCTATTGTGCTAATTCCTGTAGTTTTAAGTTATTTAGTTGTTCCATTCGGACCTAATTTAATAGTAGCTGATATAGGCCTAGGAATCTTTTTTTGGATTGTTGTTTCTAGTGTAGCACCTTTAGGATTATTAATTGCAGGTTATGGATCTAATAATAAATATTCTTTTTTAGGTGGATTAAGAGCAGCTGCTCAATCTATTAGTTATGAGATACCTTTAGCTTTATGTGTTTTATCTATTGCTCTGCGTGTGGTTCGTATTTAATTCTTAATATTTTTTAAGAATTTATGAGTATTCCAAGCCTATTTGTAGCTATTATACTCATGACTAAACAATCATATGGGTGAGATATAACTATAGTTTTTATAGGTAGTATATTATTCGAATCCCATCCTCTAAACACAAGAGTGATTATTGTTCACAAAATAAAACTTAAGGAAGATAGTCATTTATTTAATCCTAAAAGCAAATGTGAAAAAGTTTCATCAAAGTAAGAAACTATACAATAAGAGTAAGTGTTATTGAGATAGGTTATATGCTCTATGCAACAAGTCGTTAAATATAGATAGAAATTAGATAAATATCTAAATATATATTGTTATGTAATAATAGAGAGCTTGCATGGTAGAGTTCTATAGCCTGTGTTTCTCTAAAAAATCGACTTTAAGTATTTACCTAATTACTCAATCATGATTGTTTGGAACGAAAAAAATCTTTCTTATTTGTTATATAATTATTTGTGATCAATGATTTATTATTTCGCATAATTGTTTATTTGGAAAGATTAAGATAGATTCTGAAGTTCAAAATACAGTTCTTTTCAACCAATAGAATCACGATAACTATAATGACCATTGTTTGTGATTTTTCATTATTAAATTTTTAATAATAAGAAATTTGTCAGTATTTCAAAAAATTTTTCAATAACTTTATTTAGTTATCGAGGAGCTGTATGAAGTTTTTGCTTCATGTACAGTTTTGTATTAGAGATAAGAAGAATTCTCTTCTTATCGACTATAATTATCTCATAGTTTAAGTACTATTGATATTGTGGAAGAACAATCAAAATTTGGAATTTTAGGATGGAATATCTGGCGTCAACCGATCGGATTTTTCGTTTTTTTAATAGCTGCTTTAGCTGAATGTGAGCGCTTGCCTTTCGATTTACCTGAAGCTGAAGAAGAATTAGTAGCGGGGTATCAAACAGAATATTGTGGTATTAAATTTGGTCTGTTCTATGTTGGTTCTTATATTAATTTATTAGTATCAGCTTTATTTGTTTCAGTTCTTTATTTAGGCGGATGGGATTTTTCAATTCCTATTGTCAGCGAATATTTTACATTCTTATCTAATGAAACATTAATAAGCTTTTTGAATGTTTTTTTTGGATTAGCTATTACAATTACAAAGGCATATATCTTCGTATTTATTACCATTCTTACTCGTTGGACTTTACCTAGAGTACGTATGGATCAATTATTAGATTTGGGTTGGAAATTTCTTCTTCCTGTAGCCTTAGGAAATTTATTACTTACAGCTTCATTTCAGATTACTCTGATATAATTTAATTGTTCTTTATTAAAAATTTTGTATACAAAATTTTTAATAAAGAACAATTAAAAGGAGTATAATTATATTTATAATATAAAGTATGTCATCTTTTATCAGTGGTTTTCAAAATTATACGCAAGAAGCATTAAGAGCTGCTCGTTATATCGGTCAAGGATTTTTAGTAACTCTGGATCATATGAACCGTAGTCCTATTACCATTCAATATCCATATGAAAAACTAATTCCTTCCGAACGTTTCAGAGGACGAATTCATTTTGAATTTGATAAATGCATTGCTTGTGAAGTTTGTGTACGTGTATGTCCAATTAATTTACCTGTAGTTGATTGGGAATTCCAAAAATCAATGAAAAAAAAACAATTAAAAAGTTATAGTATTGATTTTGGAGTTTGTATATTTTGTGGTAATTGTGTCGAATTTTGTCCAACAAACTGTTTATCTATGACAGAAGAATATGAATTATCTGCATATGATCGGCATGAATTAAATTATGATCAAGTTGCATTGGGGCGTTTACCATATCCTGTAACTCAAGATTTAAGTATACAACCTGTTGTAGGTTTAAATTATCTTCCTAAGGGCTTGGTTAATAATCCTAATGATTCTTTAAGAAATGTGACGGATTATCCTCAAGAATAATTAGTCTTAAAAAAAATTTTTGAACTATGCGCATAGTTTCATATAATGATTTTTTTGTAGATCATTGAAAAATATGTTATGTAATCGCATACTTAGTATTTTCATAAATTATGTATAGGAGTTACTCTAATGAGTATGGTTGATATAACAGAAACAACTAATCTTCCTCTTATTGCCTTACTTGATATAGGGATTATATTAGGTGCTTTAGGAATTGTTTTTTTAAGAAAAATTATATATTCTGCTTTGTTATTAGGTTTTGTTTTTGTATGTGTAGCTTTATGGTATCTTATTTTAAATGCTGATTTCTTAGCAGCAGCTCAAGTATTAATTTATGTAGGTGCTGTAAATGTATTGATTGTTTTTGCTGTTATGCTTGTGAATAAACCAGAGACTGAAACTATGAAAGAATGGAAAACTGGAGATTGGATCTCGGGTTTTTTATTCTTAGGTTTATTCGCTTGTTTAACTAATATGATTCTAAATACTACCTGGATAAACACAAATGTGTTATCTAAAGTAACCCAAGAAGAATTCAATACAGTGGGCGCCAATAGCATTGATATTATAGGGGCACATATATTAACAGATCTCCTTCTACCTTTTGAATTGTTATCTGTTGTGTTATTACTAGCTTTAGCTGGAGCTATAACTATTGCTCGCAAAGATGGATTCATTTTTGTTGAAAAAAATACGACAGAAATTGATATTAGTAATCGTTCAATAGATTAATTACTAATAAATAATCGGTTATTTTTCAAGGAGTAAACATTTATGTTAGAACATGCCTTAATTTTGGGTGCATATTTATTTTGTATTGGACTCTATGGTTTGATGACTAGTCGTAACATTATTAAAGCTTTAATGTGTTTAGAATTAATGCTTAATGGAGTAAATGTTAATTTAGTCTCATTTTCAGCCTATTTAGATACTGAAGAACTTAGAGGACAAACATTTGCTATTTTTATTATAGCAATAGCTGCAGCAGAAGCTGCGATTGGTTTAGCCATAGTATTGAATATTTATCGAAATAGAAATTCTACTCGTTTAGATCAATTCAACTTATTAAAATGGTAGAATTTGAAGTTTGAGATGGCTTGAATCTCAAATAATTATTAGAGCACACAGTGTTCAATTTACAGAATTCTTCTTTAGGTAGCAAAAAAAATTGGACAATTTTTTTCCATTTAAACAGAAAATTGTTTCGAAAGAAAAAATATGTATTTAAAATATTCTTTTTTTCTTTGTTTTTGAGTTGTCAAAATTTATAATCTTGTTATTCTTTTTACAATTAATACATTAAGCCTATTTGTTACATATTTTTGTTTTTTTCTATATTCCTTTTTTCTATATGTTTCTTAATATGATTAGTAGATAATAATTATGTTATACTGACTTGTTTTTTTTTATGAGTTAGTATTTAACAAAACCTTTTTTATAAAAAAATTTCACTTCATTATTATCTTTAGTATAGTACATACATATTTATATGTATACTAAACTAAAAACGACAAGATAATAATAGATTTCTATTCAGTAATTCTCTAATTTATTATGTGTTTTTTCTAAACTTTTAGAAAAAACACATAATAAAGAGGTTTTATATTATATATATTTCTTTATGACTTTTAAAATAAAAGTGCTTATGTTTTAAAAGTATTGTACATTAATCTATACCATAAACGCATTATTCAATATGTCATTATAGCATTTCCGGTAAATTCTATAATGACATATTGAATCTTTTTGTATTTTTTCTTTTTAAGAAATACATTATTTTTAAATTATTTATTAAAATATGTAGATAGAAAAGTGTCAAAGATTTTATCATATGAATATAAGATTGTATGAACATGATAAACAAATCTTTCTCTTTGATTCTTAGAATTCAATCGAATATTATGAATTTTGTAAAAAATATTTTATTGTATCAGTTTAACGGATTAATTTTTTGAATCATAGTCAATACGATTACCGAATGTTGATAGGTAGTTATTAGAACTACTATATATGATGAAAATAATAACTATATATAGTAGTATATGTTCCGTTTTAATAAACTTGGAACCAAGGATTACAAGTTTTTATATTTTCTATATACTACAAACAACCAGTTTCCCTAATTTTTTTATGTGAATATCTTTTTCTTAGAAACAAGATTCATTAGTACTCAAAAAATTCATTCAGTATATGATGAGTATAGTGATAATGTCAATAAAATTTTTGTCTCAATAGATTTTTTATCATTAAAAATTATAAAATACATATATGGTAGAGTGACTTATCAATGTTTTTTCTCATTAGAAATTCAACTATCCTTTCTTTGATTATGTTATTAATATAAAATTGAACATATCATTGATAAGTCATCATTTTGAAATTTTGTTTTTGAGGATGGTACGTTTTCTCATCATATTCAATTCATGTCAAAATGATTAATTTTCATAAAAAATTAATCATTTTGACTGTCTAAAAGCTCATGACTCAATATATTTATCAAAATACTTGTTATGTAACTAGATAATGTGTTCACAAATATCTAGTTACATAATTTCTTTCTGGTTTAATTGAAAAAGAAAAAAATAGAAAAGAAAGATAATGTTGCTAAAGTTAAAATAAATACATAACTTGTAATACGACCTCCTTCTATATATTTTGAACTTTCTCCTCCAAATAAAGAGACCAGACCAGTATTATTAACAATTCCATCAATAATCCACTGATCTAATAGAAAAGTTAAACGTGAAAAACCTCGTGTTCCTGAGACAAAAATTTTTTCATATATTTCATCGATATAACCACGACGTAATGACCAATTATAAATACTATTAAGTAGAGTACCTAAACTTCCTTCTTTCACAGGATCAAGAGAATCTATAAAATTTCTCCTTTGTGAAGCATTGGGTCCATATAGAAACCATGCTACACAAGCACCAGTCACTGCGATACCTACTGATGGAA